ACGATGTCCATATTGTCAATAGCCATTGCTTGATCAACAGTTTTGCCTTTCAGCCATTCTGTAGCCAATGATGAAGATGCAATGGCAGAGCCACAACCAAAGGTTTTGAATTTTGCATCCTTGATAACGCCAGTAGCATCATCAACTTCAATTTGCAAACGCATTACGTCACCACATTCTGGTGCACCAACAAGTCCTGTACCTACGTTCTTGCTTGCTTTATCTAAAGTTCCTACGTTCTTAGGATTGCTATAGTGGTCGATTACTTTTTCTGAGTATGCCATGATTGTTGTTTTAAATGTTGAATTATAAATTTTAAATGAAAAAGATTAAGGTTGACAATTCAACATTTAAAATTCATCACTCAAAATAGTTTTTTAGTGGTGTGCCCACTCAATGCTGTTCAGGTCAATTCCTTCTTTATACATTTCCCATAAAGGGCTCATGTCACGCAACTTCAAAACAGTTTCGCTGATGGCTTTTATGGTGTAGTCAACTTCTTCTTCTGTGGTGAATCTGCTCAATCCAAAACGTAGCGAACTATGTGCCAAATCATCACCCAAGCCCAATGCTTTTAACACATAGCTTGGTTCCAATGATGCTGAAGTACAAGCAGAGCCTGAACTCAATGCAATGTTCTTGTTAAAGCCCATCAACAAACCTTCACCTTCTACGTGTTTGAAAGAAATATTGGTTACATGTGGCAAGCGGTGTTCAGGAGTTCCATTGATATATGCTTCTTCAAGCTTCATCAATTCAGTCTCCAATTTATCCCTCAATACAGAAATGCGTTTTGCATCTTCTTCCATTTCCAAACGGCATAGTTCACAAGCCTTACCAAAACCAACGATGCCTGGAACATTCAAAGTACCGCTTCTCATTCCTCTTTCATGGCCACCACCATCCATCTGGGCAGTCACTTTTACACGTGGGTTCTTGCGACGAACATATAAAGCTCCAATGCCTTTTGGACCATACATTTTATGTCCAGTGAAAGCCATAATATCAATGCCATCTTTGTTTACATCTACAGGTATCTTGCCAACAGCTTGTACAGCATCTGTAAAAAATAATACACCATGCTTTTTAGCAATAGCTGAAATTTCCCTGATTGGTTGTACCACACCAATTTCGTTATTGGCATACATGATAGAAACCAATATCGTTGTGGGTTTGATGGCAGCTTCCAATTCAGCCAAATCAATCAAACCGTTTTCTTTTACTTCAAGGTAGGTTACTTCGCCACCTAATTTTTCAATATGCTTGCAGGTATCCAAAACAGCTTTATGTTCTGTTGTAGCTGTGATGATATGGTTCCCCTTGCTGGCATACATTTCATACACACCTTTAATTCCAAGGTTGTCACCTTCAGTAGCCCCAGAAGTGAAAATGATTTCTTTAGGATCGGCACCAATCAATTTGGCAACCTGTTCCCTTGCATAGTCAACTGCTTCCTCTGCTTCCCAACCAAAAGGGTGGTTACGGCTGGCAGCATTACCAAAATGCTGGGTAAAATATGGTATCATGGTTTCCAAGACCCTTGGATCCATGGGAGTGGTAGCATTGTTATCTAGGTAAATCGGTAACTTCAACATAATCTTCTTAATTAAATTTCTTTTTATTCAACGGCGAAAATACTGCTTTTGAGCCTATAATTTTGAATGAGATAAAGCTGTAAAGCCTTATTTTCCCCAAATCGAAATGCAAAACGAACCTAAAACAAGAAAACATGCTAAAGGTTGAACATATAGGCATTGCAGTAAGGGATTTCGCTGCAAGCATACCGATTTTTGAGAGCTTGCTGAATACTGAGTGCTACAAAAAAGAAGCTGTGGAAACTGAAAATGTGCAAACAGCTTTTTTTAAAACAGGTGACACTAAGATTGAACTGCTTGAAAGCTCTACCGAAGATGGTGTTATTGCCAAATTCATTGACAAAAAAGGAGAAGGGATCCACCATATTGCTTTTGAGGTAAAAGATATAGAAGCCGAAATGAAAAGATTGCAAAATGAAGGGTTTGTTTTGCTGAATGCTATCCCCAAAAAAGGAGCCGATAATAAATTGGTTTGCTTCCTTCATCCAAAAGGAACAAATGGCGTGCTAATTGAACTATGCCAAGCGATTGTATAAATTATAAAAGAAAAAATCATGAAACTATTTGTTGCATTAATCACTTGCTGTTCACTTGTGTTAAATGCTGGTTGCCAAAGTGGGCCACAACAAAAAATTAAGACTGTTGGGGACGCAGATTCCTTATCTCAAAAATACAACCTCGATAAAATAAAATTGCCCGAAGGTTTTTCAATTTCTGTTTATGCAGAAGTCCCAGATGCAAGAAGCCTATGCTGGGGTGCAAAAGGAACTTTATTTGTGGGCAATAATCGTGAGGACAATGTTTATGCAGTGGTTGATGAAAACAAGGATGGTAAAGCTGATAAGGTTTATACCATTGCCAAGGACCTCACCATGCCTAATGGTGTGGCTTTTAAAGAAGGCAGTTTGTATGTTTCTGCTTTGGATAAAATTTACCGTTACGATAATATCGAGGATAATCTAGCCAATCCTCCAGCAGGTATTTTGGTAACAGATAAATACCCCAACAAATCCCATCATGGCTGGAAGTTTATTGCATTTGGTCCTGATGGAAAACTCTATGTTCCTGTTGGTGCACCTTGCAATACTTGTGAACAAAAGGATTCCATTTTTGCAACCATTACTAGTATCAATAAAGATGGAACAGGAAGGGAAATTTATGCTAAGGGAATAAGAAATTCTGTTGGCTTTGCTTGGCATCCTGATACCAAGGAAATGTGGTTTACAGAAAATGGAAGCGACATGATGGGCGATGACAAACCTTTTTGTGAACTCAATTATGCTCCTAAAAAAGGGATGCATTTTGGCTTTCCATACATCCATCAAGGAGATATGTTAGACCCTGAATTTGGCAAGGGAAAAGACCCCAAAAATTATACTGCACCAGCATTAAAAGTTGGGCCACATGTGGCTCCTCTTGGGCTTCGTTTTTATACAGGTAACATGTTTCCAGCAGAGTACAAAAACAGAATTTTCATTTGCGAACATGGTAGCTGGAACCGTAGCAAGAAAGCAGGTTACAAAGTTGGCGTGGCTACTTTGGAAGGAAATAAAGTAGTGGATTACAAACCTTTTGTAGAAGGCTTTCTACAACCTGGCGATAAAGTCTCTGGTCGCCCAGTGGATTGCATTGTGGCTGCTGATGGCTCTTTGTTAATTAGTGATGATTATGCAAGTGTTATTTACAGGGTTACTTACAAGAAATAACTTTTAGTTTACCATCTTTTGAATAAATATTGAACGATAGTGGCGTCGCTCCATTCAAAAGTTGTACTCCTATTTAACTACCCCATTGTAATTTTTTTCAAAAGAATGTTAAGTAATTGCTTGCCATTAATCTAAGGCACAATCATTGGCTCTATATATTTTGGATTTGATAAAATCTATAAAATATAAGACCATGAAAAAGTTATTGCTCATCTGCATACCTGTACTGGTTGTAGTTGCAGCTTGCAGCAACTCAAAAGTTACCAGCAGTTGGGTTGACCCCAACACCAAAGCCCCATTAAAAAAAATAATGGTGGTGGCATTGCTGGATAGCAAAGACCGTCCTTTAAAACAGCAGATGGAAGACCAATTGGCTCAAGAGTTAACAGCACAAGGTATTGTTGCTACAACAGCCTATCATGATTTCGGCCCAAAGAGTTTTGAAGGCATGAAGGAAAAACAAGTAATTAATCAACTAAAAAACAAAGGTGTTGATGGTATTATAACAATCATTTTGCTTGACAAGAACAAAGAAAAAAACTATGTGCCTGGCAATGTACAGTATCAACCACAAACAGTGTACGTAAGGCGTAGCAGATTTTATGGTTACTATGCTACTTACTATGACAGGATTTATACACCAGGCTACTATGAAACCAATACCAATTACTTTTTTGAAACCAATTTGTACGATGTAAGCAGGAACAAACTACTGTATTCTGCACAATCTGAAAGTTTTGATCCATCTTCTGTGGAAAGCATGGCAGACAAACAATCCAAAGCCATTGTAAAAGATATGAAGAAGAAAGAAGTGCTCTAAATATTTAAGTAAAGTGTGAATGTTGAGTAAATAACGTTGCAAAATGCAGCGTTATTTTTTTTGACTTAGATTCCTAATTTTTCAATAGCAGTTTGTGCAGCTACTTGGCTTGCATCTTTTTTATTGTAACCTTTTCCGTATGCCACAATTTCACCATCCAGCACTGCATTGATGGTAAATATCCTGCGTCCCCCTTCCAGTTTTTCTTCAACCATGTCAAAAGATAATGCTTTGCCATTTTTTTGCAGCCCAACCAATCAATTTGTTTTTGAGGTTGATGTCTATTGCTTCCAAATCATCCACAAACATGTGAGGAATGAGGATTTGTTTCAGCACCCAAAGCTGTGTTTTTTTATAGCCTTTATCCAAGTAAATGGCACCAACAACAGCTTCCAATGTGTTGCCAAAAATTTGGCTGCCCCGAAGTGCATTGTCAAACTTGTTGAACAAGGTAATTTTCTTCAAACCCATTTTCAAGGCAATATCATTCAATTGCTGGCGGTTCACCATTTTGCTTCTCATTTCAGTCAAGAAACCTTCGCCTCTGTATGGGTAACGTTTAAACAAATAATCGGCAACAACTGCACTTAAAATAGCATCACCCAAATATTCCAAACGTTCATTGTTCTCGTCTGGTGTGTCTTTTACACTTCTATGGCTAAGGGCAGTGGTGTACAAAACAATATTGCCTGGCTTTAAGCCAAGAACGTTTGCTATTTGCTTCTCGAATGAAGATGGTTTAACTGAACTGAAAAAATTCCTGATTATTTGCACGGAAGCAAGATAATATTTAATTGATTATGTAAAAATATTTGTAGCTCCCAACAAAAAATGCAAATCATTATGATTTGCATTTAGTTCTATTTATAACGAGAAAATTTATCCTTTGTACTTCTTCACAATCACACAAGCATTATGTCCACCAAAACCAAAGGTGTTGCTCAATGCTGCATTTACTGTACGCTTCTGAGCTTTATTGAAAGTGAAATTCAACTTTGGGTCAAGTTCAGGGTCATCTGTAAAATGGTTGATGGTTGGGGGAACAATATCATGCACCACAGCCATGATACTTGCAATGGCTTCAATGGCACCAGCTGCACCAAGGCAGTGACCTGTCATGCTTTTGGTGGCACTGATATTTAGTTCATAAGCATGTTCACCAAAAACAGCAGTGATGGCTTTTACTTCTGCACCATCACCAATTGGTGTACTTGTACCATGCGTATTGATATAGTCAATTTCTTCTGGTTTCATATTGGCGTCTTCCAATGCAGCCAGCATCACATTTCTTGCACCCAGTCCTTCTGGATGTGGAGCAGTAATATGGTGTGCATCTGCAGTGGCACCACAGCCAACCACTTCACAATAAATTTTTGCACCACGGGCTTTTGCATGTTCCAGTTCTTCCAAAATCAAAACACCAGCAGCTTCTCCCATTACAAAACCATCCCTGTCTTTATCATAAGGACGAGAAGCCGTTTTTGGATCATCATTCCTTTCACTCATGGCTTTCATTGCATTGAATCCACCAACACCAGCTTCACTGATTACAGCTTCTGCACCACCTGAAACAATGATGTCAGCTTTGTTCAAACGAATTAAATTAAAAGCGTCCATGATGGCGTTTGTGCTACTTGCACAAGCACTCACCACAGCGAAATTTGGACCACGCAAATTGTGTCTCATGCTTATTTGGCCTGCAGCAATATCCAATATCATTTTGGGGATGAAGAAAGGATTGAAACGTGGCGTTCCATCACCTTTGGCAAATTCAACCACTTCATGTTGAAAAGTAATCAGGCCACCAATGCCACTTGCAAAAACAACCCCAATCCTGTCTGGATTGATATTGTCTTTGTTCAAACCTGCATCGGCCATTGCTTGGTCGCTTGTTATTAACGCAAACTGGGTGAAACGGTCAATCTTTCTGGCTTCTTTTCTATCGAGAAAATTTGTAGGTTCAAAATTCTTGACCTCACAAGCAAATTTTGTTCGGAACTTTCCAGCATCAAACTGGGTAATCATATCTGCCCCTGAAACACCATTAACAAGGTTGTTCCAATATTCATCCAAAGTATTTCCCAAGGGCGTTAAAGCCCCTATGCCTGTAACAACTACTCTTTTTAATTCCATATACAAGGTTTGTTTGACGTTCTGTACTGTTCAATAAAGTTATATTGTACAAGAGTGTACTTCGGCTATTGCTCAGCATAAACTTGCAACTGGTTTCAATAGCTGTACAGACGTTGGTAACACAAATATATTACAGAAACAGTATTCCCTTTAATTGATAATCCGCCAAACCTTTGGCTGTTGCCTAAAGTTTGGCGGATTATTTCTTATTCCGGTTGAAGGATTGTTCTCTTACTTGGCATGCTCTTCCAAATAAGCCACAGCTTGACCAACAGTAGTAATGGTTTCAGCCTGCTCGTCAGGAATTGAGATATTGAATTCTTTTTCAAATTCCATAATCAATTCAACGGTATCCAAAGAATCGGCACCGAGGTCGTTAGTAAAAGACGCTTCGTTCGTTACTTCTCCTTCGTCTACGCCTAACTTGTCGACAATAATTTTCTTCACTCTTGTTGCGATGTCTGACATTGTAATAAGTTTTGTTACAGCGGCAAAAATAGAGTTTTTGGTTAAAACGCAAAGGGTTATCTAAATTTTGTTTCCACATCCACTTAACGTCTAGTTCTTAGGTAGTTAAGAAGGTTGGATGCGAGTTTTTGTATTACCGATTGAGCTTTACTGGTGTTACACCATTTATCGTCCTGTATATTGACTATCATTTACCCACAAAAACAGCTTTCCTTTTTTCAAGGAATGCAGTAGTGCCTTCTTTCATGTCATCAGTGCCAAAACAGTTGCCAAAAGCATTGATTTCTTCTGCAAAGCCATCTTTGCTTTCATCCCAAACTGCATTGGCAGCAGTGATGCAAGCTGCAATAGCCAATGGTGATTTTGTGTTGACGATATTTAAAATGGAAACTGCTTTATTTAATAGTTCCTCTTGAGGCACAACATAGTTTACCAGCCCATATTGTAATGCGGTATTTGCATCAATCATGTTGGCAGAAATCAATAGTTCTATGGCTCTTCCTTTCCCAATCAATTGCACCAAACGTTGCGTTCCCCCATAGCCAGGAATTAAACCAAGGTTCACTTCTGGCTGCCCAAATTTTGCATTGTCGCTTGCAATTCTAAAATGGCAAGCCATGGCCAGTTCACATCCTCCACCTAAAGCAAAACCATTTACACAGGCAACAGCAGGTTTGGGTGAACGTTCAATTTTGAGGAAAACATCCTGCCCACGTTTGGCTAATGTTTTTCCTTCTTCAATTGATAAACTTCCAAATTCAGTAATGTCGGCACCAGCAACAAAAGCCTTTGCTCCAGAACCTGTGATGATAGAAGATTTTATTTCAGCATTGCTGTACACTTCATCCATTACATTGTCGAGGTCTGTAAAAACATCCTTGTTCAGGGCATTCAATTTATCAGGTCGGTTAATGGTAATGGTGAAAATTCCATTATCAAGATTGGTTAATAAAGTTTGGTAAGTCATATCGTTTTTGTTTTTGCAAACGCAAGATAATAACACAATCACATTTGCCTGAAACAGATTTTCTATCTTCATGCTATGAACATACTTCAACTGATTGCTTATACAGGTATTTTCATCTTTGCCATTACTGGAGCATTAAAGGCACGTACACACAAGATGGATATTTTTGGTGCAGTGGTTATTGCATTTGCTACAGCTTATGGTGGTGGGACGGTTAGAGATTTGTTGATTGGTATAAGACCTGTGAATTGGGTGAATGATTACCTAGCGTTGGGTTTGGTGCTTGGTGCAGTGATTATTGTTTTCCTTTTCAATACAAATGTTAGCAAGTTCAATAAAACCATTTTCTTCACAGACGCTATTGGAATTGGCATGTTTACAGCAGCAGGAATAGAGATAAGCTTGAGTGCAGGACTGAATGAAGGTTATGCTGTTATCATGGGCGTAATAACAGCAACCTTTGGTGGGCTTGTAGCCGATATTTTAAGCAACGAAATCCCTACACTTTTAAAACGTGGTGAATTGTATGCAACAGCTTGCTTGGCAGGTGGTATTGCTTATATTGGCTTGAAGGAAATAGGTCTTGAGAAGAACACCAATCTTTTTGTTTGTGTTTTAATTGTTGTTACATTAAGGATATTGAGCAAGAGAAAGAGATTGACTTTGCCTGAGATTTAATAAAAAAACATTTTGAATGATTAATTTAAAATGTTGAATTGTTAGAACCCAAAATATCTTGTTATAAAAAGCAAACAGGCCTGATATAAAATATCAGAGCCTGCCGCATGATTGGGGGTTTGTATGCTAATTCAAATATTGGTTCAGGAAATTAATGTTTTTCATTTCTTACTTCCTGTAGTATCAGAGGCAAATGCTATTGAACTAGTAATTGCCACATGGTCAGCAGTTGCTGGTTGGGCCTTAGGGAAACCAATAAAAATTGATGCTACTGTTAGGCAACTAACCACTATTAGTATCAGCTTGCTTTTCTTTATTATTCCATTCTTTTTCATTCTTATTTATTTGTTTAGCAGTATGCTGAGCTATTTTTTAGAGTAAAATTTTTTTGTAAAAAGCCAACATGGTTTCCCATGCTGGCTAAACTTCTCAAGTGTATCGGATAGGATTAAATAGAATAGGATTATGAGGATATTGGATTCTTTGTATTTTACACTTTAAGGTTGTTATTTGGATTTTTTAGGACTTGGATATGGTCTTTTGAAAGGATATTGGATTTTAAAATTGCCATTTGGCTTTAAAGCTATTGTTTGGTGTTTTCCTTTGCTAGTATGTTTGCTGATAACTTGTAGTCTACCTTTTTATTTCCTTCTATTTGTTTTGCAAATACTGTATTTGTTGTCTCTTGTACAGTGTTATTAAGATCTTCAGGATTGTTCCCCATTTCATCAAACTGGTTTTTTGCAAATAGGGCAACTGCTGCATAGAACGCAAGCTTGGCACATGCCATCATTATAAAGTGCTTGCGTTTGATTCTTTTTAATTTTTTCAACATGATTAATTGTTTTATACGGATATTGATTTGTTGTTGACGATGTAAAATTGTTTCGGAAATGGCTACTGCAAAAATTTTACATGCTGAGTTGCGTGAAATTTGTAATGAAGTGCAGGGAGATGGGAATGAAATGAAAATGATATCAATCAAACTGCTATTGAAATGTAGCAAACCCTTTAACAGTGTAGATTACACAATAGCAAGTGTTTTTACCATTGCGTACCATGGTATTTAGTTGAGTATCTAAAAACCCTTCTTTTAGGCCATTCGTTTCATTCTGAAAAAGCAACGTTTCATTGTATAGATGCCACTATTGGTACAGGTAAGTTTTTCCAACTAACTAAGCCGTATCAATTTTGGGCTGTCAATTAAACAGAAATGTTTCTGCCATTCATTCAGATAAATGAGTAAGTAAAATCCAATATCCTTTTTAAACCTTTCAAACAATTACAATGACAGCAAAAGAAATCCAAGATGTAAAAAGAACCTGGGCAATGGTTGCCAAGTTAGATGCAGAAACCGTAGGCAAATTATTTTACAACCGCCTTTTTGAAGTAGCACCACAAATAAGGCATCTATTCAAAAGCCCTGTACCTGAGCAGTCCAAAAAATTGATTGGCATGATTAACTATGTTATCAGCAAATTGGATAAGCTTGATGACATCATTAACGAAGTAAACAAGCTGGCCCAACGCCATGTGAAGTATGGTGCGGAAAAAGAACATTATGAAATAGTGGGTGGCGTTTTATTGTGGACACTTGAAAAGGGGCTTGGCGAGCATTGGACGATAGAAGTAAGACAAGCATGGATTAATTGCTACACCACACTTTCAGGAGCAATGATTGCAGCGACAGAAGAAACTGAAATGCTGGCATAACTATATTTCTCTTATGATTAAACCTATTGCCATACTTAGTAATAAGCAGGGCAATAATTTGTTTTTTTTGATGATTTTATATTCGGGATATATGACAGACAAGCAGATAATATTGATTAAGACTAGCTGGAAGATTTTCAGGGGAATTGCACCCGGGCTGGTAGGTGAAGTTTTTTACAGCAGATTGTTCATGATGATGCCTTCATTGAAATCCATGTTCAGCAGCTCTATGGAAGAACAGTATAAAAAGCTAACGGACATGCTGAGTTTTATTGTGGCAAGACTTGACAAATTGGATGAAATTGTTGAGCCTGCAAAGCAGCTTGCCATACGCCATATTGAATATGGTGTAAGGCCCGGTCACTATAAATTGGTTGGAAGTGCATTGCTATGGACGTTAGAAAAAGGTCTAGGAAAAGACTGGAATAACGAATTGAAAGAAGCATGGACCGAATGCTATACAATCTTGTCAGATACCATGATTAATGCAGCTTATGGCGATGATGAAAAAGCTGCATAGAATTTTTACAACAAACCTTTCTTTTTTGCTTCACCATCTACATAGTCAAAAATTGAATCCATTTCTGCATTGGTAAGTTTTGGAAAAGAAGTCATAACCGTCTTCCATTTGAAGTACAAAGCTTTTGCATAGGGGTCTTTTTTAGTAACTTCCATAGGGTTCCTTACGTATTTATACAATAGGTTCTTGTCCTTCCAGCGTTTGCGTACACCGTAAAGCGAAGGACCTGTTAAATCCCTCGTTGGATGGTGGCAGGAACTGCAATTCAATAAAAAAATTTCCTTCCCAGTTGTCTGCATTGAACTTGTATTTTGAACATTGCCTTCATTTTTTGCGTTGATGCTATATGAAATGAATGCAAGGAAAAGAAACGCTACTGTAATCAATTTAATGCTCATTTTTCTTTTTGAAGTGCTAGTTAAGGTCATAGAAATCCTGCTGGTTACACAATTATCCTTTTCTTCACAGGATTTGCCTTTACTTTTGAGCTACTAATTTATACGATTATGCGTTTACTTTTTTTAGCCTTGATACTGATGTTAAGTTTTCAAGGAATGGCACAGTGCAAGACCTTTAAAATTTCTTCGAAAGGAGATACGTTAAACTGCACAGATGCAAATGGTATAAAACGTGGCAAATGGACGATACACGTTGAATCGCTGCGTGGGAATCCTGGTTATGACGAAGAAGGAGAATACCTAGAAGATAGGAGGGATGGCATTTGGCGTAGGTACAACTTAATGGGCGACTTAATGGCCATTCAAAATTATAAATGGGGCAATTTGGATGGCATTTCACAATACTATTCGATTGCTGGTTTGGAAAGAGAAGAAAGCTGGCGTGCCATGAACCCTGACAAAGCTTATGATACATTGGATGTGGAAGATGTAAACAATGAAAACAAGTATATAAAAGTGGTGGTGAAAAACGATGGAAAAAGCATGAAGCATGGCACTTGGAAGTGGTATAGATCTGGGGGCATGTCCATAGTAAAATCAGAAGTTTATTTTTTGAACAAGATAAAAGAACCTGGGCAAAATACTGCTGGTGGAGATGCTGCAACAGACAGTACTGGCATTGCCAAGAAACCTGAACCCAAAAAAGAAAAACCGAAAGAAGTGCAGCAATTTGAGAAAAAGAATTCAGGTAAAAAGCCAACCAAAGTGAGGGATGGAAAGACTGGGTAATATTACAGACAAAACGAAATAAAAAAGAGCAGTGTATCAAGCACTGCTCTTTTTTATTAATCATTCTTCTTGAAAAATCCCTTGAAGAAAACTAATTGGTAACGAACAGCATTTCGCCAATAGGTCCAGTCATGCTTGCCAGGACGCTCAATATAATCATGTGGAATCTTCAGTTGCACCATTTTTTCATGTGCAGTTTTATTCATGAAATAAAAGAAGTCCTGTAGGCCACAATCCATAATGACAGCCAGTGAATCCTTTGGATAGTTTTCCATCACTTTCATTATGCTCCAATCATTGTAATATTGAAGATTAGCGATACTGTCACCTAGTCTTTTATGAATGTCATACTCTTTTTTTATAAGGCTTATATCCAGTGCACCACTCATGCTGCCACATGCACCAAATTTTTCTGCATGCCTGAATGCCAAAAAAATTGCTCCATGTCCACCCATGCTTAAACCTGCAATGGCCCTATGTTTCCTGTCTGCAATGGTTCTGTAATGAGCATCAATATATGCTGGCAGTTCTGTTCCTATATGTGTTTCAAATCTGTAGTTGCTATCAATGGGGCTGTCAAAATACCAACTGTTCGTTGAGCCGTCTGGACAAACAATTAATAGCTCCTGTTCATCTGCCATCGATTGCAGTTCAGGAACTTTTACAATCCAGTTGGTCGAATTGCCAAATGCACCATGTAATAAATAAACAACAGGGTATTGGTTGCTTTTAGTTTGATAGGATGCTGGTTTAATAACCACTGTTTTAATATCCCTATGCATACT